TCGGTTTCGGCCTGAGTCTGGCCGAGTTGCGGAGGTCTTGGGAGGCCGTGTTCTCTGGGCCCCCCCCCACGTGGAGGAAGGTGGGCGGCCCCATTGGGGCCATGAGGTTGTCGGTGGAGCGTCTCGGGTGGCATGTGCCGTCGTTCACTTTGTTGGTCGACGACATGGGGGTTGAGGTCTCATTAACCTTGGTCTCGCCTGCCTTCCTGAAACGACTCCTCCGACGCGCTGGTTTGCGTTTCCACGAACGAGCTTACGGGGGCAGCCTTGGCCTCAACAGGAGAGCGTGCCTGGATGTGCCCTTGGCGGCCATGCCGTCCAGCAAGTTCACCCCGTGGGAAAAAAAGACAGTATCCGTGGTCTGGTTTGTCAGGCCCCTTGGACTAAGTGCCGTGCGGCGGAGCAGGGATATATTCTCCCCGACGTGCTTTGTCCCTTGTGCGGCCTGGAACAGGACACGATGTTCCATCGGCCGTGGATGTGTCAGAGCCAGCAGCCTCGTGTGCTTCGCCAAGAGCTACTTGGCGACGATTTTCAACGCGCCCCCCTGGCTGGGGAGGATCTCAGTGTGCACGACCAAGTATTGTACACGTACGGGATCATGTCTCATCCTGGGGATTTCTTTCCTGCGCCTACTAGGGCTGAGCCTATTGTTCATCATGTGTGTGACCCTGAGCGTGATGACTATCAGGTTAGAGGGAATGTATTCATGGACGGGTCCTGCATTCGTTCGGTCATACATGAGCTGTCACGCACGGGCTGGTCATATGTGTCGGTCTCTGATTATGGGCAAGAGTTGGGGCATGTTTACGCTCCTCTCGCTCTCCCCATCCCTCAGACAGCGCAGGCAGGTGAGTTTGCTGCACGCACTGCAGCTTGTCAGATTGCACTTGAGGGCTCGGTCGGCTTTAGCGACTGCCAGAACGTCGCCCAGCTCTGGTCGTTGCCCCGAGCCGAACACCTTTCGTTTAATCGCGTGTACGCTGGAATGTTCATCTGGACTGCGGACTCACAGATGGGTCCCATCCTTAAGGTCAAAGGGCACATGACCGAGGATGACGTTGCTGGTGACGACCGTTTAACTTTTTACAAGGCGGGTAATGACCTCGCCGATCATTATGCTAAGCTGGGGGCCTTGGCACGTGAGAAGCCTAGCCCTGAGCAGTCTGAGTGGCTCGATCGAGCCCTTCCCGTTTCGCGTAAAGTTTGTGTGCTCGTTGCCAGAAGCAATGTTTGAGGGTCTCCAGGCGTTGCTGGCCCCCGAATGGTGTATGCTCTACTACCCACAAACTCTATGACACCAAGCTCATTGAGATGGGTCACAAGTGTATTGCTTTGTCCTGCTCTGACGGCAGTGCGGTCTGCATATGCCTGAAGTGCAAGGCGTTTTCGACGGGCGGGTACGTGCGCTCTTTGAACCTGCGTTGCAATGTTAAGCCGCATTGCCCCCGCTCGTCTAAACACTATTGGAACCGTATCCTTGCTGGCAAGCACCCGAAGAGCGATAGGATTTGGCTCGACGTGGATGCTCTCAGCGTGGCACGGTTGTTTGATTAGTCGTCGCTCGACGGGCGGGTCTCCTGGCATCGGCCACTGGGGCATGGCCCTGTCGTGTGGCCCGTCTTTGCGGGCAGCTCCGCATGCATGAATATTATGTGCGGAGCTCGTCTATCTTATCAAGTGTCGTGCTCGACGACTGCGTGGCTGGCTGCCAGGAGGACCGCGAAGAATCGGGGCAGAGCAGTGCAACGGCAAAAATCCTCCTCCTCCTCCTCCTCCTCCTCCTCCTCCTCCTCCTCGTCCTCCTCCTCCTCCTCGTCCTCCTTTTCCCCCCTTTCCTCCTCCCCCTCCTCCTCCTCCTTCCCCTCCTCACTCCCTCTCTTCCTCCTCCCTCCTCCTCCTCCTCCTCCCCTCCTCCTCCTTCTCCTCCATCCCTCCCTCCCTCCCTCCCTCCCTCCTCCTCCTCCTCCTCCTCCTCCTCCTCCTCCTCCTGCTCCTCCTCCTCTTCCTCCTCTTCCTCCTCCCTCTCTTCTCCTCCTCCCTCCTCCTCCTCCTCCTCCTCCTCCTCCTCCTCCTCCTCCTCCTCCTCCTCCTCCTCCTCCTCTCCTCCTCCTCCTCCTCCTCCTCCTCCTCCTCCTCGGTCGGCAGACCTCCCCCGCCGCGCCGGCGCGCCTCCCCCCCCCCTCCGCGTCCTCCTGCGCTCGGTTCGGTCCCTCGGATCGCCCCCTTTTTCGGCCCCTCGTGTGCCCCCCCCCCTCCCCCTCGCCCCCTCCCCTCGTCGAGCTCGTCGGCCCCGCCCGCGGCCGAGCCGCTCTCGGAGCGTCCCTGCCCCGCCCGCCGGGTCGGCTCCCACGGGGAGAGGCACTCCGCAGCCACGAGCGGCCCAGGAGCGCGCGGGGGCGGATGCGAGCGCGCGGCGCGCGCGGGCGCGCGCCGGGGGGCGCGGGCGCGGGCGCGGGCGTTTGCGGGCGCAGGCGCGTGCGGGCGCGCGCGGCACGAG